CTGTTCTGATTACCCACCCACGTATTCAAACATAAAACACAGCACATCCTGCAGCTGCCGGAGAAGACGGGCCAGGAAGTCTAAACAATGCAACCGCTCACTAATGTTTATACTCTGAAGCAAACATGTGTCGCATCATTAAAAAAAACACACCATCAAAGCCACCTCCTCTCTTGTGTTTCAGGAGCGCCTAAAGGCCAGCGAGCACCGGCCGGAGATGGAAGACAAAGCAGACAAGCGGAGCGCCGACCCCAAACCTCGGCGCTCCTCGCTATCCTCCCCGTCCCCCTCGCCCATCCTGCACCCCCGCAAACCTCCCCTTCTCTCTCGCTCACCGACCCCGTCCACCTCCTCCCTCGCCCCTCTGCCCCTGCTCCCCTCGCCGGTGACCGCCCTCAAGTCGGAGGAAGGCGGTCAGAGGGTGCTGTCTCACCCACCGATGCCCCTGCCTCACCCGCCTTCCCCCCTCTCGGCCTCCCCGCCGCCGTCCTCGCCGCGGCGGCCTAAGCTGGAGGTGGGGCGGAGGGAGCAGAGGGAGGGACAGAAGCCGGCATCTGCACCCTTTCGAGGCGTCTACTCTGGTGAGTTTGGAGGAATCAAACTGCTGAGTCATGAGCCGCTCAGCCGCAACTGAGCCTCTGAAGTTAGACTTGTTGTCTTTGCAGGGTTTACATAGTTTAAACTACTGAATAACATTTGAGTAATGGATACATCAGGCCTTTGCATGATATTGGATCTATGAGTGACTCTTAACTTTATTTCTGCTTTACTGTTATGACAGATCTCCCTCCTGGTTACCCGTACCGGTCCATCACTGCCCCATACGGCTCTCCTTTCCCCCCTTATCACGTCCCGGCTCTCACAGCGACAAACACAGAAGTCGTCCCACCCCACCGGTCCCGCTCTCCTGCCTCTGCCGCCCCTTTGCCCTCGGCCCACCTCCAATCAAGGCTGCTGGACGCAGACATCAAGCCGCAGAAACTAGAGTCGTCAAAAACGGGATCTTTTCTCAAGCAGGAACCCGACATGGAGCCGCCTCCGCTTGACATGACTCAAGAACCTCTGGGTCCTCTTCGCCGGGGCTGCAGCCTCGTGCTAGCCAGCCGGGGCCGAGAGGGAGACGGGGAAGCCATGAAGCCCCAGACTCGACCGCTACCTCTGCTCGTCCCCAGCCCTCCGCGGCTTCAAGGTGACAGACCAGAAGAAGTCGGGGCGGAAGAGAAGGAAGGAGGGCAAATCAAAATGGAGGCGTCATCTCACTTCTGTCAGGCAGCATATCCCCTGCCTCCTCCACTCACAGAGGCCGGGCCTAAACCGGAGCTCATCATAGATCCAGAACAGTATCCGTCGTGCGCCGCTGCAAATTCAGACGGCCGGGAGTCGTCTCGGATGTGTCCGTCGCTGGAAGAAATCACCAGCGCAGCGTGTGAGCAAAAACAGCCAGACACTCCAATCAACCCGCACACTCCCAGTCTGAGAGAAGGTGTCAGAGAAACTCCTGTTTATCCTCTTCTGACCTCCAACTCGCCGCTCCCGCTGGTCATCGGACCCGAGGATCCGATGGCGGGGATGTTTGCTCTGCTGGCAGCCAGTGAAATGGCCCTGGCCCGCCCCAACACCCCCCCGGCCCTGACACTCATACAGCAGATAGAAAACTCCCCCATGGGTGCAGACTGCAGCAGCACGGGGGCTCTGGAGATGGTGGCGCTGGAGGGGATGGCCCTGCTCAGCCAAATGGCTCAGCGAGAGATGGAGCACATTCGCCTGGAGCAAGGTGAGTGGATATGAGAGGGAGAGAGGTGGGAAATAATTAAAGATGAGATTAAAAAAAAATCTCACCGACTTTGTAAGAGTTTTTTTTTTTTTTTTTTTTTTCTCTAATGTTTTAATGTCCTCTGTGTCCCATTCAGATATGACACTAGAGGGTCTGGACTGTCTTCTGAAAGCAAGCAGACAGATTTTGTTGGAGGCCATCGAGAAACAGTCCCACATTGATCTGCCCAGAACGCTGGACCCCAACAAGAAGTACAGCTGGAGGCAGAGGAAGGAAGAGCCGGTAACCTGAAGACAAACACCACGGGTCACGCAGAGATGCAAAACGTCAAGTCGTGGGAAATGTCGTGACACCTTTATTGCCTCTCTTTTCTCTGCAGCTGTACGGTAAAATGTCCGTGGACGTGTTGGACGCAGTGGAAGTGGAATACCGCGTCCGCTTGGCCGAGCTGCAGAAGACGTATAAGGAGCGGCAGAGAGATCTGAGCAAGCTGCAGAGACGCAGAGACAAGCGGTGAGCTCACATACTTACTGCAAGAACCACATTCAAGATGCATTAATCACACTCCCGCTATAATTACACACACACACACACATTCCCACGAATCCACCCCAGACAAAACACACCTTTAACTCTTTTATGCATATGTCAGTGAGCGGCAGCAGCAGGAGGATGAGAGGCGGAGCCTGACCAGACGGGGCAGAGGACGACCCAGGAAGAGGAAACACTTGGCTACAACTCCCAAACTGGACGGCAGGCCTGGAAAGTGAGTGAGATCTCCACCTTAATTCTTTTGCATGTTTTTTTTGGTTTGCTTGTTTAGTTTTTGGTTGTGCAAAAACGGTTTAAATATCCCGATGTGTCAGGGTGGGTAGGACTGTGCAATACTCTGAGGACTCTGAAGCCGGGGATGGACAGAGGAAGAGGTTCCGTGTGTCCAGAGAAGAAGAGGAGACGGAGGCAGGAAGTGGAGGGGTGAAGATGAAAAAGAAGAAGAAGAAGAAGAAGAGCTGGAATGATGAGGAGCCGTCCACCAGTCACGGTCTGGAGGTAGGCCTCTCGCAAGTGCACGTTTTAAATGTTGCCTGCTGTGTGACGCCAGCGTTCTGAGTGATTAACAAAGTGTTGTTTTTTCGCGGTGTTGTCAGGTGTTGAAGGTGAAGCGTGGCCACGTGTGCGAGCAGGAGCAGCTGGCGTCAGACCTCAACAGAGCGCTCTCGCTCTCGCAGCTCGGCTCACTCGGCGCCTCTCGCAAACTTACCTCCAGCTCCAAATCAGACAAGCCGAAGGGCAAGTCTGCGGCAAAGGAGCACGGCATCCACCCGTCCGCCAAAGCAGGGAAGCACAAGATGTCCGCCAAGGCCTCCGCTCCGGAGACCGTCCGGAAGGTGAAAGGTCAGAAGAACACTGCTTTGTTCTCTCCAATGAGATCGGAGCTCAGCAGCTGCTCCAACAGTGAGTACCTGAACATAACTGCTTCATATGACTCATGCTGTTAAAGAAGAACTGATACGTCCAAGTAATGTTTCATCTTAAAAACACAGTTTAAAGGTGTGTGTTATTCTATTAAATAACGCCACACTGAGCCGAGTCGTGGATTGAAAATATTCTAATCTAGATCCAGGTTTAGATTGAAGAATGCAGAGTGCTGGTGATGCTGAGATCAAGCAGACATCCTCCTGGTGTCCGACTTTTCAATTCATGAATCATTAACCGCACTCTCTCTGCACCAGACTCGGATTCAGAGGAGCACAGTTCCGCTCGAAGGGGCTGGCCCCCTCTCTCAGGGACGCGTTCTCACAGCAGCCCGGCCAGGAAGAGGCGATCGCCGACGCCGACGTCGTCGTCCCTGCTGTCCAGCCAGAAGAAGAAGAAACACAAGCACTTATCGCTGCTGCTGGAGGAAGCGGGCCTCAGCTCCTCCGACGACTCCTTCGACCAAGGTTACTGACCAAATCTTACAGCTCCTCGCCCCCCCCCCCCCCCCCCCCCCCCCCTCCCCCCCTCCTCGCTGCAGAGTCGGGCAGAAACGTGTCTTTGAGCCTCGTCACAGCGTGCGTCTTTGTGTGCGTTTCGCTCAGGCAGCTGTTGTCAGACTGTGCTTTAGCTCGACGATCTCTACCTCTCTCGCTGCTGGCTCTATAAAGTGGCCTTTTTTTTTTTTTTTTTTAAACAACAAAAAAGAGTTTACCTATTTCTATGGTGTGTTTTTTTTAATTGCCTGGATTGCAAACCGTTTTTTGTAGCATTTGTACATTGAAAAATTGTGTGAATTTGTGAGATTTTTTCATAAAGTTGTATTGCAGTTTGGTACCTATGAGCTTTATTATTAAAGGTGTTGATTTGATTGGCACAGAAAGCGAAGCGCTGTGGTCCTTGTGTCTGCTTCATCTGTCTGTCCGTCTGTCCAGCTGCACCTCACACACCCTTTAGACTGCTCTGTTCCTCAAATATCCCTTATGGTCCTCCTGGCAAAGGTTAGAAAAAAACAAAACACCGTTCAGCTTCAGGTGTACATTTGGGAAACTGAAAACATGACGCGTAGAAGATTAGTTCAGAGCACACAGAGCTGATTCTGATGGGACAGATGAGACGTTTATTTCCTGGTCATAAAACAAAGAGAAATGATAGTGATCGTGGGGGGGGGGGGTTTAGTTAAATTTACTTTGTTTATTGATGTGGTCTAGTGTTTGAGTGTTTGGGGGAAATAAATGCATCGCGACTCGTTCCAAACGTCTTGGCGGCACCAGTCCTATTGGATGCTGGGGATATTTGGACAATAGAGCCCCTCCTCTGTCTACTAAACCTTCAAATAACCCTTTTCCCTTTACGTCACTCTCTGACATCTTGCTCCGTCCTCTCACCTCCTCCCCCTCCTCGTCCTACCCATGATGCTTTGAGTGTCTCTCAGCCTGTTCCATGTGCTTGTGCTGCTGCTGCTGCTGCATTACAGAAGCTTGGCAAGGACTAGCGCAGACTTGAGCCTACGCTACCTCGCTGTGGCTAAAGCTTTGCTTGACTTAAGGCCAGGCTGAGCTACGGCTCTGCTGCCCCGCCCTGCCTGAGGCCACACCCCTGTCTCCTGCTCTGTAAGTAGGAAGTGCCCCTTCCTCTATTCTTTATTAACCGCTAACCTGGACCGTGCTGAAATTGAACCACATACACAGAATTTAACTTTTTTGTATTTTTATTCTCAAAAGATAAAGCTCTTTCATGAGAGCCCTGGTTACCTCCACTTCCCCAGCGTTGCGTCTCCTGATGGCTTGAAGAAGTTTATTGGAAGACTGCTGGGAAAGAGGACGTAGCCATGGTTACTTGAACCTCATACATACCTCAACATTAGACCAAGGGGCCTCACAGGGCTGTCCTCTCAGTGCCTGCCTGTTGTATCGTCTGCCTGCTTCAGTTAACACACGGTGGATTCACAGCAAGTGTGCTCCAGACTAGGCTCCTAAAACAAGTCCTTGTTTAGTAAATATGTATTTTATTCTTGTCTGGAGTCACCGCACAAGTGAACCGTTTCATTCGTTGGCCGGAGAGGAACTTAACGTCCAATAAACATCTTTTAGTTCTTGCCGGCCTCCATTGGTTTCACTTCTTGCTGCAGTGATGTAAAGGTCTACTTTGGTACAGCATTACATCACTGCTCTGTATGTTTGCAGGTGTAACACATTTCAACCAGAGACTTTCAGCCTAGCGTTACAAATAGCTGCACATTTTTATGGCCGCCTCTTTACACTTCAAAGTGATTAAGACAGAACATATGAAGGTGTGTTGTGCTGTGAATCCGCCCACAATGTTAACGCTCTAACCCACGAGGAGATGCTTCTCTGTTGCCATGGACCTAACTGCTAACAACACGCAGCTAACCAGCTGTGTGTGTGTGTGTGTGTGTGCTGGCCTGTCAGACTTGGAGGAAGAAGGAAGCAGTTTTTCACTTCTCCCTGTGTCACATTCCCCTGAGGTTTTTCTTTTTCTCCTCTATATAAATGGAGTCAAGAGTTTCAGCTCGCATGGTCTCAGCAGCTGTGTGTGTGTGTGCGCGTGTCGGTCAGCGTGGATTACATGCATGTATGTGGTAAATCCCAATTGCTCCTGCTGTGTCTTGCTTACTCAGCATTACAGTGTGAGAGCAGGCTGCAGTGGTTTGGACAGTAGATCTCTCTCCACTGTCGTCTGATCCGCTGACATGTTAAGATGTGGGATTGTTAGTGTGTGTTTGTATAAAACAGTCTGTTATTGTAAAGTCCATGCTTCTACACAGGCTTAATTTAGTCTTTATATTTAGTTTATTGTCTTCAAAACGTATCTCGATCCCTTTTCTTTCGTTAATTCCTCTCCTCAGCAGTGCAGTCTTTGTGTCCACAGTCAGTAGGAAGCGGAAGTAGGAAGTGATTTGACCTTTTGGCCCAGACCAATGCTGCCGCCGCAGTCTCCTCTGAGCTGATCATCTTTTCTCTGAAACAGAAACGTCCGAGGACAACGAGGACGAGTCTGATTCGGACGATGAGGAGAGCGGGCTCGGTCTGCTGGCCAGGTTTGCGGCGAGCGCGCTCCCCGTCAGCTCCACTCCATTGAGCATTTTCCACGACGGCAAACAGCGCAGCAGGCAAAGCACTCTGGGTAAAAACTGATACGACTGAGTTGCACGTGACGGAGCATCATGTCTGTGCCAATAACCACAGTGAACATGGATTACCTTATTATGTAAAGTATCAACAAAGAGAGAGAAGTAGATAAAAACACAGTGATGTGGCTTTTTCATTCATTCTCTGCACAGACGCTTCTGTCTTTACCAATTTCACAGATTCCCATGACCCAATTTATTTTATTTTTTTGTGGTTGAGCAGGTTCACCGCCTGAGTGATTGTTGAGGATTATATTATTGATTCTTAATTAAATATTCATTTATTTCTAATTGTCACCTCAGGCTGCATGTAATGATTCAGTCTTCAATAATGTATTAGTTTCAAATTGATCAATAGTCCTATTCACAGTTATTGATTTCACAAAATCTAACACCTGAGTTGATTACTGGCTGCATGTTTTATTGTGTGTGTGTGTGTGTGTGTGTGTGTGTGTGTGTGTGTGTGTGTGTGAGAAGAAGAGTTTCTACACCATGTGACCCTGTCCTCTCCTCTGTCAGGGTCTTCAGAGTGCGAGTGGTCAGACTCTGGATCCGACCTGCGACTGAGGAAGTTCCCGTCTCTGCTTCACGGCAAACGCTCTGCCCCAGAGCTTCCCCTGTTGCCCCCGGCAACCCGCCGCATCGACCAGACCAGCCCCTCCAAGCGAGATGAGGCGCTGCCCGCCAAGCGCAAGCCTCTGCCCAAACCACGGCCCACGCCGCCCCGGCAATTTAGCTTCGACCTCCCCTTGGTCTCCGGGTTCGGAGGCTTCAGCGAGGACGAGGGCTGGACCCGACGCCGCAGCGAGAGGATCTTCCTCCACGATGCCACCACCTCAGCCGGTCAGATGCCTGCGTCAGCCGCCGCCTCCACCGGTCAGAGCACCACCTCCTCCGGCTCGGCCCCGCCTCTCACCCCGAAGCCAGCCTCCAGACCCAAACCCTCCCCGCCCAGCAGAGAGGGGAAAGATGTGGTGAAAGTATGTCAATAATTCATCGGGGGTTGTTAATCACCAACTGACAGGAGCCTTAAAAACAAAGAGACTCTCCGCCTCTCCTTGCTCCTCGTCCTTTTCTTCTGTGTTACTGTTTCACTCCTCTCCTCCTCCCTCAAACTCTGGTTCCCTCACATCCTTTTGTCTCCCTTGACACCTCTGTGTGTGAGAGCGTGTGTTTAAGTGTGTGTGTGTGTGTCAGAGTGCCAGTAGGGTTTCCTAGTACTTCAGTCACTGCAGCACTCCCCTGCTGTCTGTGTGGTGTTACTGACAAGAAAGGACAACTGCAGGCGGCCTGGCAGCATCCCACCCTCAGTGTGTGTGTGTGTGTGTGTTTGTGTGGGGGTGTGTGTGTAAAGATGTAAAGATGTAAATCTGTCAACTACATCCTCAGTATGAATGCTTTTAACTCTGCGTGTTGTGGCTTTTGCAAACTAGAAAAAGAAGCCGAAGGACTCTCCTCTGCCCGTGAGCCCGTCCACTCTGTGCAGTCCAATCACAGACGTCCCTGCGCCGCTGAGCCTCAGCCCGGCACGCAAGAGCCAACCGAAAGCTAAGACAAAGGCCAGAGAGGTCAGTGGGATGATGGATCAGCTGTCATTATGGATGTGAACTTAATTATCCTGGCAAGGACAAAACCATAACGTTTGAAGCTGTCAGACCTAAATGAGGCCACTTTACTGTCTTCAACACGTGCACACACGGCAACGTTAACCGATAGCTTGTGTTATTATTCTCACTAGTGAGAGAAAAAAAGTAAACCTCTTGCAACGTGTGATTTTCCGCCAAAGTGTTGCGTTGCTCTCCATCTGCCACTAGCCACAACTAGAGTTTGTTTTGGAAAGCACTAAAGGCAGCTGAAGTGTGTGCATAGCTCTTTGTGGTGGTGGAACGGCAGAGAAAAGGTTGTGTGTTCAACAGCATAAGTGTTGTAATATGTTACTGTTTCACTTTGAAAAGTTCATTCGTGGTGCGTCAGCCTGCTTCGTTTTGGTGGGCTGCCACGAATGAATCTGCAGAAGCAGGAGCACCTTACAGCAAACAAGTCAGGTGCATTCCACATCCAGACATTTAGGGAACAGATTTATCTTATCGACTTGTTGGATAATCGGTGTGTTTTCGCAGCCTTCCAGAGGAGCGGTCAGCCGGCTGATGGAGAGCATGGCGGCAGACGAAGACTTCGAGCCCAACCAGGACAGCAGCTTCAGCGAGGATGAACTGGTCCCACCGCGCAGCAACAGCGTGCCGGAGAGGTCCTCCACGCCTGGTCAGTACACAACAACAACACCCTCCACTACTGCTTACAACCGTTAACAAAGATATGCTTATTTACTGCCTGTGTTACTGTGTTCAGCTCCAGTGCAGTGTGTGTTGGATAAGGATTCTCTGGTGGACGGACTCAGAGTTTTGATCCCGATGGACGACCAACTACTGTACGCAGGACATGTCAACACTGTACACTCCCCTGATATGTGAGTACGCCTTTAAAGATGTGCAGCCTTTAATGGTGGAAGCACACATCTGTTTGCACCATTACGAGCAAATCAATCAGTGTGCTCCAATTCTTTGTCCCCGTTGAAGTAGCTGATTTAGCAGCACATTGATGGAAGATGTGTGGAGAACCCCCAGACATTTAAACTAGGAAGCGTCTGCAGGTGCAAACCACGGTGATCTGTTGCTAAGCTTATTTATACGTTGTTTGCTTAGAAAGCTAAAGCCTGCTGCCGGTTAGCCTAGCTTAGCATAGACACTGGACGTAAACAGCGAGCCATAATCAATTGTTGTTTTCACGTTTAGGTTTTAGTATTGAGTAAACTAAGGGCATACGGTACAAAAGCAAATAAGCATTTTTCTAAAATGGCTAACTATTCCTCTAAACATGTACAATTAGCATACACACAAACATATAAACGTTACATTCAGATCTAATTTTGGTCATTTAGCTGACGCTGAAATCCGGAGTGGCTTAATTAAAAGAAAACAAACAGACTAAAGCCCTGTTCAGACGGGATTAATATTCCAGGGGAGTGTGGGTATTAGTCACGCTCTGCTCTGAGCACTGTTCGGCAGAGCCAAAGCACTACGGTGGTAGTTGGTAAAAAAAAAAAAAAAAAGACAACACACTCCCCAGCCTGCTGCACATCAAAGCAGTCACAATCAGGTTAAAGGTTGAGTCCTGTCTCTGGCGAAGGGACCACTCGCACTGCAGAGACAGCTGATCTTACTCTAGAGAGCGCTGATCTTTGACCCCGATTCCCACATTTCCTCCCTGCAGCTACAGTGTGGTGGTGGAGGGGGAGAGAGGGAACCGACCGCACATCTACTGCTTGGAACAACTGCTGCAGGAGGCTGTGAGTAAACTCTCACACGTGAATCCTCAACGTTTGTGGAGATTTTAGACACTTTTTGAGGAGTTAGAAAAGTGAACCCGTGATGTGCCGGTGCAGTCGGTCCATTGAAATGATGCGAGCTCCTTCTATGTGTGCAGATCATCAATGTGAAGCCCCCGGCCGTGCGCTACCTCCCAGAGGGCACCCGCATCGCTGCCTACTGGAGCCAGCAGTACCGCTGCCTTTATCCCGGCACCGTTGTCAACGGTATTGCACCAGCGCAGACACACACACACACACACCCATCACTTACATAATAAGATACATAATCTACTTACATTGACAACTTAATTGTAGCTGGCAGCACAAACAAATATAAAAGATCTTCACAGAGTATAATTCAGTTCAGTTTATTGCTTTAAATAGCCGGATGGTAATGGGAACATAATTAGTCCGGGTGCTTTCTATTCAGAGCGCTTTCCTGAAATGAACTATGAGTAATATTGCTTGAGTGACTGGGTGTCACCCAGTTATACAAATCAAAACACATGCGTTAAAACAGGTTATTTTATCTCCTAAATGTGTCAAACTCAAACAGGTCTCAACTGACTTTTGACTGTGTTTCGTCCCATAAACAGGAAGTTCAGATATTGACGAGAATGATGATCTCATCACGGTGGAGTTTGACGACGGAGACACAGGCCGCATCCCCCTCTCCCACATTAGACTGCTGCCGCCAGACTACAAGATCCACTGTGAGTACACACACACACCCACACACACACAAACACACAATTGCATCTTACCCTCACTGCTTGGTTAGCAAATAATATCTTTGTGTGTGTGAGACTGTGTGTGTGTGTGTGTGTGTGTGAGCAGGCCTCGGATCAGGCCTGTCTGCATATGCATGAACGCTATTTGTGTGTGTGTTGATGGTTTTAGCAGAAGTGTTTTCCCCGTAGAGGGCTGCTAACTTACAGCTATTCCGGTACATCGCTACTCTTTGAACCGCTGTGTGTGGATGTATATATATATATACAGTTGTGTGAAAAAGTGTTTGCCCCCTTCCTGATTTCTTATTTTTTTGCATGTTTGTCACACTTAAATGTTTCAGATAATCAAACAAATTTAAATATTAGACAAAGATAACACAAAATGCAGTTTTTAAATGAAGGTTTTTATTATTAAGGGGGA